TTTGTTATCTTCAACAATATTTGCTCCCATTATTGTTGAATTTCCACGGCCTCTCCTTTCAGCAGCTTTATTGTCCTCTTCGATTCTCAATCGAACAATGAGATCTTCAAGGGACATTTCCTTTCGTTTGTGTTTCAAATAATTTTTGAAGTCCTTCCACAATGGAGGCAACTTCTCAATTATTGCTGCTACTTGGAATGCTTCATTAATGACAAGACCTTCAATGAAAATTCCGTTAATAAAATTACTAAAAATTTTACTTTCAACATCAGTATTCTTTTGAAATATACCTTCAGCAAGTAGATCATGAATAATTACTTGTAATTCCTAGACTTGGGTAATAACAGACTTGATATCTACCATTTTGTAGTCCAAAAATTTTGCAGCCACGAATTTCTTCACCCCGGCATCTTCAGTTTTGTATTTCTTTTCAAGCGCATTCCACAATTCTTTTGATGTCTCCACGCCACTGTATACATTATACAGATTACCATCCAGTCCGCTAAGAATATAATTCTTGCACAAAAAAACAGAATGCTTCCACGTCTCAATCACGAGAAAGCTTTCATTCTCTGGAGTTTCATCTGGCAGATCAGGAATATCTTCCTTGATGAACTTCTGTAGACATAACGTAGTCAGGTAAAAGAACATCTTCTACTGCCAGCGCTTGAAATCAATCCCGAAAAATTTTCCGGGTTTTTCTGCCGATGCTAAAGCCGGTGTTCGGCTTGTCGATGCGTTGGTAGTCACCATCGGAACAGCTTGATTTCCGTTGTCATTCGCCATTTTTTCTGGGGGGGGAAAAATGACACAAACAAACGTTTAAAACTGGAGTAAAAAATCACGTAGATTTTAATCTCCAACAAAACGCCACGAAGGCTTTAAAACTGGAGTAAAAATCACGTAGATTTTAATCTCCAACAAACAGCCACAAAATCACGTAGTGTTTCAGCGAATACAAAGTTCGGCAGCAAATCACACTTACGGATGCTTTGTTTGTAGTTTAAAACAATGCAGAACAAAGGAGGAAAACTCAGAAGTCGAATGGAAATTCTGAGAGGAAGGAATGCAAATTATAGCCAACGTTGAGTTTTCGGTGAAGAGAAGATCAATAGCTCTCAATTCTGTTTCNCAACTGGTGGTACAATACACGGATTGGAACATATCAGTTACAAACACGGATAATATTACGTTAATATCTACTATTAACAAATAAATTTGGTCCAAAAAATTAATCAATCAATCATTTGACCGAAGCCGTAGCCGTAGCCGTAGCCGAGCGAGCGACGACGACGGCGCGAGGCTTGCCTTCTTCCTAACTCTTTAAGAGCTACATGAAGTGCATTTGTATATAAACCCACCAAACTCCTTTTCCTCTACCAATGAGGGACAATGTCTGAGAGGGAAACTTAAAATTTTACTCAAAATTTGCATTTCCCTCAATTTCTCATTCACCCTCTTTTTAATACCTTTCTATATTAAAAAGAAACTCAACAATAATTGGATTACTACTTGTGTATAAAGTCATGGATTTATCTTGTAGCTACACTTGTGCTCATCATATCATTCTTATTCTATGTGTGAGGTCAAGCTTCCTTTTTAATATCACAACTCACTGCTATACTGATGGCCAATTAACACTTCTCCTTTGCTTCCTGATTAAAATCTGAATTAGCTTTAGTCAAATGTTTCATTTTTGTTTTATCCAACAATATTTTCATGAACAATTTTAGAAGCAACTGTTGAGAATTGAGATCATGATAACAAGCTTCTTAATCATTTAGCACTTGAAATTTTTGGTATTCTTTAGTTAAGTTTTGGTTGCACAAAAAGCTTTATTCGCTACGACAATTTTTTTATGCCATGTTGATCCTGGTAGACTATGGCTTGCTAGGCTTTTCTCTCCTTATTCTGAAGTTGGACTACATCAAGTTTACTTCGCATTTATCCAAATTTTGTAGGATTTTATGTACAAAATTCTTTCTTAATTTGTTGTACTGGTTTCTCATTTTCTTGAACGGTTATAAATGTATACATTAATTCCTGGACTACTTGGACTATCAAACTCTAGCATTATCCTACTAAGGAATTAGATGACAACACAATTAAGAAGCCTTCAAGAGATATTATCTTTAGCACCCATATGTAATCTCCCCTGTGTATCCACCTTCTTTTTTGGTTAACATGTTTCTGAGTCCTTTTTAAGGCAATGAGATTACGTCCTTCTATATATGTGTTCTAGGTTCTCCATGAACACCAAGTTTTGGATCATCTAGCACAAGTACTCGCGGATCCTGCATGGCACAATTTATCCATCCTGATTGTACAATATAAGGCAGCAGAGGCTTTGGGTAATTTTGCCCGTCGTTCAACAAGGTGGAGGGACCTTGTTATTGATACTGCTCCTCTCATCCCATTATTTCAACTTCTACATAGGCTATCACGTGAGGCCACTTCTATTAACACGTCATCAGCTATCAGAGCATCCAGGACAATAGGAAACTTATGTTTTGGAAGTCCACCCCCATCATTTGATAAGGTGGAGTAGAAGAGATAGTTTGTGTTCTGTTTTTTGAGACCATCACACTCATAGCACAGATTTCTTTAATGCTCATACACGATACACTGTTGTTGTTTCAGTTGAGGCCATCATTACCGGTCCTCCGGTATCTCATTGATCTGGAGCTTCGTATAGAAGAAGAAGCAATCCCTGTTCTTAAGCATGCTTGCTTAATTATTGCATGTCTTGCACGAGGTGGATTTGATCCTATAAATGCGCTGATTGAGCAAAATATGTGCCCAAGGCTGGTGATGCTTTTGGCGTAAGTTGTTCTCCTTTTTCAACAATTCTTTTCTGTTGTTAATTCTGATGTGTTCAGCTAGGATGAGGGAGAATCTAATAAGCTGAGGTTATGCCAGACATACGAATAGTGAGGTAGTAGCAAATGTGCTGAAGATTGTGGAGAACTTCTTTAGGAGTGGAACTGATAATCAAATTCAGGTACTCCCTGTACCATTAACCTGCTTTTGTCTTCTACCCCAATCTTTTGATGTTTACTAACAAATACCTCAGGCGTTAGTGTCTCGGTCATAATCTGAATCATGTTTGTAAGATCCTTCTTTTTGTTTTATATAGAGTTGATATTATTGGTGTTTCTCGGAATTGTTGCCATTGCTGTTGCACAACATCAGACCATTTAAGCCCTCAGGGTGAAGATATCGGTCACAAATAAAGGCTTGTTTGTAACATTTGTAACATGACACTTGCACTCCTTTTATGGTTTGCTATGTTCTTCTGGTTGATTCTGAAGAAAATACAAACACAAGAGCTAAATGAATCTCTGCCTAAATATTGATTTAAGCCCAACCTTTCAACGAATGCACGTATTATGATTTTGAACTCATCTTCTTGGATATGTGTTGTTCTCTTTTTATTTTAATTAAATAGAGAATAAAGTTCTGGCACAATTTATTTTTACAGAAAGCCGGATGAGAAAATTAGCGTATGAGGCCTGTTATTTTTTAAAATGAAAGGTTTGTTTAATAAAATTTGTTAACCCTTTTACGTTTTCTAGGTTCTACATGGCAACCAAGTTCTTCAGCGTCTTTTAAATATCCTGAACAATCATGACAACCGACCTTTAACTTTGAGGAGTGTTTGTCGTGCCATCGCAAACATAGTGAGCTACCGGAGCAGTCAAATACAGGTTCTTTTGTGAACTTCTTAATCTTGATTCTTTTTGCTGCAATCCATGAAAGGATCTGCTCAGTCAAACTAACTTGAGCCTGAGCATTCTGTAAAACTCTAATTGTTGTAGAATATTCTTTGAGACATTGTGTATGAATATTATTAACTACTAGTATAATTTATGAGCCTTATTCTATGAAACAGAGGATGGTAGATGCAGCTATCTTCCCTCCTATTATTCAAATTGCGATTAACCAAGAGGTTGATGATATCAAATATGAGGCTGTATATGCTATCTCAAGTGCTGCCAGGAGAGGATCTCAAGACCAGATTAGGTACAATCTTCTCATTAAAGTACTTTCTGTTGCTTGATAAGTGTGCTGTAGTTGCCTTTTATATATGTATGTGTGTCTAATGTACGTGTTTTTGTGTGTATATACTTATGTGAATATTTGTGTGTGTTGTATCGTTGTGAAGCTGCATTAGTGTGCATGTTATTTGGGCCATTTACGTAATAACTTAAGATACAATATGCATACCATAATTGGCTTGCTGGTATATCCCAGTGATTGAATGTATTCGTAAGCTGCTCCGCTTCAATATGCCTCATTAAAATAACCTTAAGTTGCAAAACTAGGAAACCCCCATTTTTGTTCTGCTAGTGGTGTTGACATGGGCTAAGATTCTACATAATTGGATGTCGTAAACGTGGATAGAATTTCTTATTTTCTGTTAATTCTAAATAATAATTTTCTAAGGGCATCTTCTTTCTGTCTTAACTTTAATTTCATCAAAAAGAAATCTTGTGCATCCAATGATATATCTGCCATAGTATGCACTGTGGTTACTCAAATGAACAGAATGTTGGTAACAAAATTTTGTGTATATAGTCTACTAGTTATGATTTGAACTGGAAGGCCTAAAATATGTTTATCTGGTATCGATCAGGTACTTAGTCGGCCAAGGTTCCATTGAAGCACTTTCTTTGGGTCTTTTATGTGAAGGATACACAAGAAGAACTTCTTGTTTCCAGGGGCTCCTAAATATTTTGAGGGTGGGAGAGGTTGACAAAGTTGATGGTGTAAATCCTTACGCAGAGATGGTCACTAACAGTGGTGGACTTGCTAGGATCCAGAGCCAAATGGATGATCCGGACGTTGGAGAAATCGCAAGAAAGATGCTGAGGTTGTGCTGGCCTAGGGAGCTCTGATTGCTGGTTTTGATAAAATCTGGTAGTGCCATTCTCTACTTCCTCTCAAACACCCACACATTCTCTCTTTCTGTGCTTCTCTGAATTATCTCTTCTTTTGTTCTAAACTCAACCTTGTCTCTTATCTCATCTTCCTCATTCATATTCTCTAATTTCAGGATAATGATGAAGAGTGTCCTGCTTCTCTTATTTCTCCGAGTTCTAATTGTAGTTGCATTCATTGTTATTTTCCATTGTAATAGTGACTGAATTCTCTGTTAGTTGCTATATGTGGAAGTTATCAGTTTGGTTGTTTTCATTTGACTGCCATTTCCGATCGAATTCAGTTGATAATCAAATATACTTTCCAATTTGGGTTAATTGAACTGCTGAGTTCACTACAGGAGTAAAATATATTGGTATGTGATAATTTTTGTCGGTCTGCGTACATATTACCCTCCCCAGACCCCACTGGTGGGATTATACTGGGTTGTTGTTGTTATTGTTGTTGTTGATAATTTTTGTCAACCTGCTTTAAAAATTTGTTTACCTCGAAAAATGGGTGTAACAATTAAATATGATTTGTGGTGTTAAAGATATGTGATTTATTCTAATACTAGTGAATATACAAGTAATGTTAAGTTTAAGTAAGAAGAATTTGAGCCAAACCAGTGTTGCTATAACAAAGAGGACCTCGAGCTCGACTTTCTTAGTGGCCTCGAGGTCAGCTAAAAGCAATGGAGTATGAACAATAAAGCTGAAGAACACTTGTAGAGCACGGTAAACAAGAAAAAGCAAAATAGAATATTCTATTGAAGTGAATAATGTGAGAGATACTTACAAAATGATTGGGGTCCCCTTTGTATAGGAGGAGAAAACCCCAATATAGTACATTCCTAATTGTAAGAATTCTATTGGTACAGGTGTACAATAACCCAGTACGGACCTGTACCATTTCATACAAATCTTATCCTTTAATTTATGCCCTGACCCACGTGTCCTTGAGAAATTCTCGCTCTTTTTTGAGTGCCCTCGAGATTATACTGCCTTCGATGTAGGTCGTGCTAGGCCTTCGATCTGCTTCCTCGAGGTGTGTGTCCTCCAACCGGGTCTGACCTCTACTTCGAGTCGTCCAGACTCGGACTCATAGCCCAATTTAAGACTTCGAAATCGGACTCCTTGATTTTGACCGTATACAACATTCATGTACAAACTTTCATATATACCAACTTCAGATACCCAATGTATTTACTAGACTAGTAACTAGTACATCCATGTGCCAAAATACCAAAAGTTTCTAGCAGACCTTATTATCAAGCACTTCCTCCATGAGAAATTTTGTACAAGCTTTGTCCTCATAAATTCACCTTGGAAAGAGTGTAAAGTCAGAATACCAGCAATTTGTTCTTCTGCAATGGATTAGATTAACTTCACCAACTTTTCAGCTTCTCTAATTATATGGATTATCTATATGCTTAGTTCTACCATGGTGTTTACAATGGCGACTTATGTTCCATAAAAACATTACTGTAGTAGCTAAAGATTGGGACATGACTTCCTGCTTCCAAGAGAAAACACTACTCTCAAATGTAAAATAATAGCCAGAGGTTCTTTTGATCAATATTTCCTAGTCCCTACCTAAGTAGCTATCTGCATATCCTATGAGCGTATCAGTTTCACCCTTCGAGTACTATACACAGTAATCAACATATCTCAATGTATTTCAAAACTCTCTTAATTAATTTGCTGCTCCTATATGAACTTGACTTACCGAGTATTTGACAGCAGATTTTTCTTTAGAAATGAAAATCCCAGCATCACATTCACACTGGTCTATTTCCACTCCCAGTTAATATTCTAACAATTCAAACACTTTTTGAGTCTCCTCTGTTAGGCACAACTGGTTTAAAAAGTAGTTAGGGGTAGTTTAAAGGAGAATTAATAAAACGGCAGCTTTGGTGTATCCCTTAAAAGTGTTGAATAGTATAAAGTCAAGCAACGAAATAAATTTAGTTCAATACAAAAAATCAAAATAAATAAGAGTAAGATCAGCATAGTTTGCATATTACAAATAACAAAGAGGATTTTTCTCTTTCCGCAACCATAGTGATCAAGAGTATCCCAACCATAGTGATCAGGGAGCCAGCACTTCCTACTTTCCTCTAACTGATCAAAATAATCCCTCTCCTTTTTTGGAATTTTTGTAAGCTTAAAAGAGCAGTTAGGTAGAATAGGCCTAACTTAGTACTCCCTCTGCCATAACTTATGTAGCGGTGTTTGACTCGATAAGAAGTTTAAGAAAGAAAGGAAGACTTTTGATTTATGGTCCAAAACAAACCATAGATATGTGTTTGGCTATGAATCACCCATAAAGTAAGAATTTTAAAAATAAATTATTTTTAAATAAGAAAGTATGAGATTCTTTGAAGACAAACTAAAAAGGAAATTATGATACATAAATTGGGACAAGAGAATATAATGTTTTTGGAAAGATCAAGCACTATGTCCCTCCTCGTTCAATTGTATCTTTGTTCTATTCTTTATCTTTCTTTTCCTCTTTGCTTTATCATGCGAGATAGAAGATCTTTTCCTTGAACCCATACGTGTTATGTAAGCACTTACTCAAAATTTTGCTTATCAGATTGTTTCCATTGTGAAAGACACAATTTCTCTAAACAACATAACTTAATTTGATCTTTATAAAGTTCTCGAGATATTTTCTTACGAAATTTTATAACGACATTTATTTTGATTATACAGAGTTTAGAGGTCATAGCCCCAACCCCTACATTATAATGGTGGTCTTTTGTAACAAAAAAAGTAGTAACAAACAGTATTTTGACGTTCATAGTGTGGAAGCTTGTATTTCTAGACAAATTTATGAGATTATCAAGTGACACAGGTAGTTGGCGAAATAACCTCTTTTTAATTTTGAATTGGCCAAGTGACTTCATGCTTAATTAGTATTAAGTGGGATTATAAAGTGAAGAGGGAAGCTTAGTCTATGGGACATAGTTTTTTCTATTTATTGAGTTAGCTATATAAGACAGACACAAATTCATCAATTCCAGGAACTTACACTTTTTTATAACTTAAATATATTTCTATCTATCTATCTATCTATCTATATATATATATAGAGAGAGAGAGAGAGAAATATATTTAAAAATATAGTTAATGATATATATATAAAAAAAATATAGTTAATGATACCTATTTGTGAAGGGTAAATAGGTGGGTAAATAAATTTATAATGTAGGATAGACGGGTAAAAGAAACTTTTTTTTTTCATTCTTTCTTCTCACTGATTCGGAATAGGTTTTCTTTTTCCCCACTGAGTTCCGAATAGCTTAAATTATTGCCAGTTTGCCGCCCTCTGTCGGCTGCTGCTACGGTCCTGTCCATCAATTTCTGCAGCGATAGCTTCTGCACAGGTCCAGATGTCTAAGCCTGAATATAATGTTCGCCAGGATGTTTGTGGCAGCACTAGTCTCCAAAATACTGAAGCCTACATTCAGGTTATTATCTTGTGCACTGTTTTCATTATCTCTTCAGCTTGCTTACTCCCACAAACTTGNAACAACCTTTTACCCCTTTCAAGTTTTAACTTTTGTCATCCTAGTGAGAAATGTTGATGCATAGGACTCATAACCAAAAGCTGGTAAACTTGAATTATACTTTCACTTTGGATTGCTCATCAGGATGTTATCTTTGGAAGAAATCTCAAAACATAAAATCCCAAATTTCACTAACCTGTATATCTTTAATTAAAAAAAATATTGACCTGAATATCCTAACATGTGGTCCTCGTTTAATAGGTATATGACTTTTTTTGTGTATCAAGCCTGGGGCTAAATGCCCTCAAATGGATTTTGTATAGTTTCTACTGGTCATTCATTATTGTGCTACTCATGAAATTTCTAACTCTTTCTCCGCCATTTAGTCTCGTCTGATTAAATTCAAACGCGGCCTAAGTTTCATCTATATGCTCGCCTAATTTGAGTTATTTGAGGGGTTGGAACCTAGAATTTACATGTCCTCTATTTTAGTGTCTTGGTAAAGTATCTTTACCTAAATAGAACTGATGAAACTGAAGTACTCAAACGTAGTTGTTGCTAGTGGTTCTGACTGTTTTTGTTTGTTTCTTAGTATGACCTTTTACAACGTATATATTACTACCTTCTATTTTGTTTCTTAAGCATCCATGGGATGCAGCCCATAAACATTTAAGTGAAGTCCTGGGAAAAATAGGGAATGGGCTAGGTCTTATCAGTCTCCTCATATGATGTATATGCACTGACTGACCCAGGTTCCACCTTATCATACGTTACTCCGTTAGTTGCTGGTAAGTTTGGAATAAAACCTAAATTGGTTAAACCTTTCTTACAAAAACGCAGAAAAACATCAAGATCTGTTGGATATTTAAGCACAAAAAATAATGAAGGTATGATTTTTAGTGAAAAAAGGTGCTAATGAAGAAGAAATAAAAAAAAATATTTAATAGAAGAAGAAATAAGTTTTTTTCTCAAGTACAACTCAATGAGCTATTTATATTCGGCAAAGGGCCAAATATACCCCTCTACTTTCAAATATTATTTACATGTACCCCTTGTTATACTATTGGGCTATCTATACCCCTACCGTCATACTTTGGAACAAAAATACCCCTATTTTGGATGGAGTGCCACGTGGCAGCACCAGATTTGAATGACCAATTTCTTTTTTTTTTACCCAACCCGTTTTACAAAAAACCCATAACCCGAACCATATTTCATTTTTCAGTTTTTAAAAGAATTTTCTTTTTGTAAAACATAAAAAAAATGCAAAATATGTTTTTTTAAACTAAGTAGATACTGAAAAGATTTTGCAAAACAAATTGTAAAAACTGAAAAAATATATGAAAATATAATTAATGATTCCTATTTGTGAGGGGTAAATAGGTGGGTAAATAAATTTATAATGTAGGATAGACGGGTAAAAGTAACTTCTTTTTTTCATTCTTTCTTCTCACTGATTCGGAA